TTTATCTTTATAAACATGATTAATTTTACTTGTGATGTTTTCTATATGGGATGATTAGCCTAATCCTCATGAACACGTGACGCTGGCGCGTGGTATCAGATATGAACTGTACAGAATGCGAACAAGATTAACTTTAATACAAGGAGATAATGGCGCAAAAGCGAATTTCAGATTTTTTTAAATGCCCATCCCAGCAAAAACTTTCCAAAATAGGTATCCAACACCAGCTCCAGCATGAGCACGGAGACAAGTAAGCCTAGCGGACCCAGCCCAACCCCGAGATTGATCAGCTACTATCGATAATTTCAAAAATGTGATATGCAGTCAAATTTCCCAGTGTGTATGCCACTTAAACGAGTGTTCATATCGACGCACTTGTAGTGCTTTGTGGAGTTGTCAAATGAGGTGACCCCGCCGCCCCCCTTTCACCCAACACGGACACACACAGCACCCCAAACCGAAACCATCTTCCCGCACCCCTACTAGAAACTGAATGAAGCATGAATCTAAAAATCATTTATGCCAAATTGTCAAACAAACCAGTGACGCTTTAGCTTTTTCAAACTTCTCATTGTTGCCATAGTTGAACACAACAGTGCAGCCAAAGATGCTACTTCTTGAATTTTCATTCACATTTCTCGTTACAGAAATAAACAAACATCCACCAGCGTTAATCTACTCTCCTGTCTGAGTTGTTTTGTCTGACAAATGGCAGATTCGACGTTATGATTGGTCAGATCGCCTGCTAATCAAACTGCCAACGACGGGTCAATTATACTTTTGCTAATGTGACCTAGCTTTTTCTCTGCCATGACAGGAAAAACTGATCTTAGAAGTCACTTTACCCTAATGCTCACTATTGCGCCCCCTGTGGCCATATTGACAATGCATTCTTGTTTTGCACATTATTGCGTTCTAACAAATTTCATTTCAGAATGTTAAATCGAGCTTTGTTTGGGGCTTTTATCTTTATCAAAATATTGAACCGTTTCCTAACAAATATGCGCTGTTTTGCTTTTTAACATGTGAATGTTTTACGTTACATTTTTCTAATGATGCTGGATAAGATTTTATTCTTTATTATATTTTTTGGTTTTATGTGTTTGTAATCTGTTTGTGTGAAACTTTCTGTGCTGCCATTTTGGCCAGGACTCCCTGGTAGAAGAGGTTTATATCTCAATGGGATAATTCCTGGTAAAATAAAGGATAAATAAATAAAAAATAAATGTATTACATTAATACCATTGAAGCACCAGTTTATCTATTACACCGGCTGACTTGAATTTGTAATGCCTACTGTAGCAGAACGCCTCATCGCTATTTATCCATGTTTTACATCATTTTGATAAATACAGAAGAACTGACACTTTTTTTGTTCTCTTAATTTTAATAGGTCTATCAATATATGCATGAAACAATAACAGTGAATGGCTGTCCAGAGTATCAAGCACGTGCCACAGCTAAGGTAGGTCTGATTTTATTTATTTCCAAATCACCTGCCCTGTGTTTCTGTATTACATATAAGCTAGACTAATAGTAACAACCCTTTTCTGTAGTCTAATGATCAGTAAGATGGAATCATTTAATACAAACATTTTCAAATGTGTTTCTCCGCAAACTGTCTTGATTTGATAAACACAATCAGCAATTAGCCAGACCTGCACACAAACACTTGCCAGTTGCTCTTCAGACACTGTTACTGAAACAGCATTCATTCAAATTCATGCTGTGCGAAGAGTGCACTCTTGTGAGAACGAGAGGAGACATAAAAATAAGAGGGGGAGGGGGCAATAGAATTTCTGAGTACTGGATGAGCAGAAGTGCCTTGCTGAATCTCAGCCTCACTACAAAACGGTTATTTTGGGATGGGTCACAATCCCCAGTCAAATGTGGTCATCTTTTTTTCGCAGCAGTGGGTGATATCTATCTATCAGTCACTGCAGCATGCCAGATATCTCAGATCGACTTTAATTATATTTTGAGGAATAGACACTTTGCGCACCTGAATGGTTGCAGGCAGGTGCGTTTGACAGATATGAATGAAAGAATAAGCAAAAGCTTGCAAAAAACTCTCTTAATTCAGTGCTTTAAAACTTTTTCACATATCAGAGTTATATTTTAGTTATATAATCACATATGCGAGTTATTTTTTATACACTACCATAAGCTTTTTAAAAAATGTTTTCGAAAGAAATTTCTTATGCTCACTAAGGCTGTTAAAGTTCAAATGTGTCTTGAGACTCCTGTTCTGTTTCATTTCTGCTCCGTTTTTTGAGAAGAAAAAAAAAAGTTTAAAAGAATCCTGACCCTGATTGGACGATCCTGAAACTAGCCTAATTATAGAGGGCTCTTTAAGACTGATTAGTCGACTAGTCTTTCAAGCAACCCACCAACTGGTTGATTATGAAACAATGTACTTATGCACATCCCTACATCACATACAGGGACATACACCAATCGGCTAAAAGTGAGAGCCCTGCTGGTTAAAGGCCACACTGACGTCCAAAGACTTCCACCCACCATCTCTCTCTGCATGGGTGCACAGACCAGCAGACTAGTGCACAGTTACACTGTTAACACACAAAGAGCCGAGCGAGACAGAAAACAAAGCACGCTTGGATGCCACAAAGGATGCTAAGCGGTACCCTGCAATACCTTTTTTTAATAGCTCAATAGGCTGCACTTGTGGGTGTTGTTGTAATTATGTTTCGATCCCAATTAGGCTTGAGTTCAGTGTAATAGTCTATTAATTATGCAAATCCGAGTGAAAGCAGAAGACTTTAGTTATTGAGGACCTACTTTGCATTTCAATATCTGAAATGTTCAAATGTCTCCTGACATACGCTAATGATTGCATTTTAAGTGGCCATATTATAAGAAATCTAATTTTCCTTTATCTTTTCAAATGCATGCGATGTATTATATGAAATGGACATACTGTAAGTTTCAGAACTGAAAACCTCTTTCCTAGTCCAGAACGTTGCTGAACATGACCACCCACTTTTACACATCAAACATGTCTATTCAGGGTTCAGCAACTTTGCCCACCCAGTCACAGTGTAGTACTAAGGAGGAAGTAGGATAGATACTATTCATAAACGCCTATTCCTAATACTATTCATAAATCTTAGTTTCATTTTCAAGGACTTTTCATTTGTCATTTTCAGTCACGTGTTCCTTTGTTCAGTTTCCTGCCAATCAGTTGTCATAGTGATTCATTTCATCTGCACAGGTGTTTATCATTATACTGTCTGTTCACTCCTCAGTGGTCCAGTCTTGTTAAAGGGGTCATATGATGCTGCTAAAAAGAACATTATTTTGTGTATTTGGTGTAATGAAATGTGTTTATGCGGTTTAAGGTTAAAAAAACACATTATTTTCCACATACTGTACATTATTGTTTCTCCTCTATTTCCCGCCTTTCTGAAATGCGTCGATTTTTACAAAGCTCATCGGTCTGAAAAACAAGGTGTGCTCTGATTGGCCAGCTATCCAGTGCGTTGTGATTGGCCAAATACCTCACGCGTGTGACGGAAATGTTATGCCCCTTACCATATTGTGATGCCGTGTCCCGGCGCGACCAGACAAAACCAATAAAACCCATTACAAACGAGGCATTTCTTGAATCCAGTGGGGACATAATTATGGATTCTAATGACTTATACTGTCTTTTTACGAGCTGCGTTGCATCTCGCCTAAACATAAAACCATATCTGCATTTGTGATCGGAGAAACGACAAACAAGTGCTACTCTACACTGCTCAAAACTCGCGTTTGAATCGTCAGTGGCAAATTCTTTAAATATGAAAACGTACTTACAGTCTGTGAGTCAGAACAGCCGGCATTGTAGTCTACTCTACCAGGATCAGGAAACAGTCCTCCATAAAATGCGCTGCACACATCTGAATATTTGGTTTGAACTGTTCTGGAACAGTGTGGTAAATACAACTTAACCACTGATTTCTAGTTGTGTCCACTTTTGGAAGGCCAAACAAAGTATTTTCGCTTTCGCAACAAAACACACAGCGTCTTCACAACATGGCGGTGGCAGCAACAATAAAGTTACGCCTTCTTTCTTTGCGTGAACATTTGGGTGGTGTTATGCAAATCTTCCCACATCGTGACGTAGACATGTGGGGCGTGTTTAAATGAGGCGTTTTCAGAGGGCGAGGACAAGTCTTAACTTTAATAAAGAATATCTCTTTGGGTTTGAGACTTTAGTCTTTGCATCTTATCTATTCACAAACCGCTTGTAACACTCCAAAGAGAAAGGAAAACTTGAAATCGCATCATATGACCCCTTTAATGCTGACAGTTGTGTTTGTGTACCTGCTATTATTTGAGTTTTCTAATGGAGATTATTAAAGGCTTTGAACCTGACCTTTATCTTCTTCGTGTATTCCTGCAACCGTGCTCTTTTTTTTCAAATTTTTGTAGATGGTATATGACTAAGAATAATATCCCCTTCAAGTGCAGTCGGAAATATCAAAATTAATGACCAAACAAAGTCATATTCACAAATTGGAAACTCAGATGATACACCAGTTGCCTAGTTGTTATGTTGGAAGGGGTGTGCAAAAACATTGATTCTCTATAATATCATATAATCTATATATAGAGTTCAGTGATCAGAAAGCAAGTCTGTAGTGAATTGTAATGAATTTATTTTAATTTGACATGCCATATTTCAGTTATTTTAAGGCGTGATGTTTGGAACAGCTTATAGTCAACAAGTGTGAAGTTTATAACGCGACTTTCACTGCTTTATCAACTGCTTTATGTATCACAAACATTTCGTTTTAGGCTACTTATGACTTTTAAGCTACATGGCATGTTATGATTTCAACTTGCATGTGTGCCATGTCATAATAATGAATGCAAATGGTACAAGTTTTCCAGGTGCACTTGAGGGTACTTTGAGAGTAGGATGTGTGGAGAAACGTTGTGCTGTTCCTGGCTCTGCATAACGTGTAGAGTGATTGACTAAAGCTTATTTTTAAAAGGTTATTTTTAATACTGCATAATTTAACAATTTCATCAAGAAAATGGCAGATGCTTTACAATGTCACACTTTGTTCCATCCCATTTAAGGATATCATCTACTCAATTTTTGAGCACATTTTACTAAAAAGCATGCTGGAAATCTCACATTCATTCCTCTAGGACATTCTTTAAAGCTTGTGTTAGCAAACATCAGTAACACTCAGGATTCGCAGAGCGCTTCACGGAGGCACAGAAATCCACTCCGCTGCTGCCTCTGCTCGCCCTGATACTTAGCTTAGCGAAGTGTCAATTATGACTTTTTAAGTGCAAAACAACCTTGACTAACATTATAAGCAGGCCTCAAGGGAAAAATAAAATGAAAAAATATATTTATGACCTTAATATTTAATTAGGCCCTCATCCTATCATCGCTGAAAGACAAGTTTTAGAGGTGACTTATATTTTGGTATTAATGGTTTTATGATCTAAAATGACTTTCCTCTATCTAATCTCTTGATTGGTTGGCAATTCATGCTCAGCATACGCTTTTAGAATTTTTTATGAATTAAAGTCCTTGTCATTGATTCAGAGTTATAATACATTTTTAATGGCACTCGCAACTTTTTAGACACTGGTGGTGCAGTTATTGTCAGGGACATATAGGCTTTCGATTTCAACATAAAAACAATGCAATAATTTTAACCAATAATGTGACTCATTTGAGTGTTGTTGTAATAATATGGAACTATACTATGGCAATGGCACTTATACAGAAACCAGCAGTACTTAGTGTAATTAGTATGCTCAGCAAGTAGGTCTCGCCAGATGAGCAGAATTAGCATATCAATTAAAGTTCTAATGCAGGATGTAAATTACAAAAGTCTTAGAGTGCCTCAAAGCACTCCCAAAACAAAATCAAGACTTTGTAAAAGAGCATAATAAGACCCCTTTAACTAGTGACTATGGCGTGTCCATAGTAGGGATGCGCCGATCCGATATTCATATCGAGTATCGGCTCCGATAGTGCCATTTGAAAATCACTCAAATCACTAGCAAAAGGGCAATTAGCATGTGTGAGCAGCTTGCATCTGTGTGCCGTTGGGACAGTTTTCAATCGATGGCACATAAATAGGATGAAGAACAGCTCTAAAAGCCCCAGTCATCCTTTGGGATCCCCTGCAGCAATTGTCAATGAGCTTTGTCAATATTCAATATTCAAAATAAACAAATAGACAAAGGCGTAGTTTGATGATGCCGTGACTGAGTGTGGAATCATAGGAGTTGTCGTCTTCATCCCCACAGCCGAAGCAATCCGACGGGACTTGGGCAGAAATCATGTTCATGGATGAGCTAAAGATTTATTAGCGTAGTAGAATGAAGCAGGGTGAGGCTGAAAGCCGTCGAAGCGAAACAAGGCCGCTGAACGAGCGCGACACATGGCTCGAAAGCAGCGGAGCTTTTATTATGCCACAGTCGACCGTGCATATGTGGGAATGCTGATGTAACTATTGATGGAGTCGCGTGAAGATTCTTCAAAACTTCTTTCAATTAAAAAAATAAAACCAGACAGGTTTGAGATGGCTCAAGAGTGTGTAAATAATGGCGATTTTCAGTTTTCGGTGGACTTCCTGTATTCCAGTAACTCAAACAGTAGAGCATGGCACTATCAACGCCAAGGTCATGTGTTCTATTCACAGGGAATGAAGTGTACTGATCAGTGTACTGATTTACAATTCGACAAAACAAATCAAAGAGTCCAGGCTTCAAAAATTTTTGTTATATATCTACTTTTCTTTTCCTCAGAGAAGATGTAGCTGGGGAAGGTTGAGGAACTGGGAAGAGGGCGTCTTGCATGCAGAACACTTTCAAACAGCATTTCTTTCAGTGTGACACGAAACACTCAGACAGGGAAGGTGCTGTTCTTTCAGTTTCCGAGATCAGAAAACTGCTTGGTTTGCCATTTGGGAATCTGGTGCCTTGCCAAGTCTCCAAAAATCCTTGGTGTTTTTTTCCCCTCACTGTTTCCTGTGTGTGAATGCCTTAATAATGAGTGGAGCCCCACAGTGCTGCACCTGTAGCTACAGCGTGGATCAGCAGGAAGTGCTTTTGTCTTCCGTCACATTCTCTGTCCCCTGGTGGTTGCGCTTGGCTAACAAGCTCTGAAGTCTGAGGAATTCAGACAACAATGCAGGCAGCAGTGCAGTTATCGGATGCAGTTTCTCTTTTATTTACAGCACAAACATGTTGACATATTCTTACAGGCTATGTGGGATGTACTACCTGACCTGTGCTAATTTATCTGCTTCCACAAAAGCAAGAATTAGACTAGACTACAGTCTATCTAAAGGTAAAGCCTCTGTAAAGTCATAGTGGAGCTGTTTAATTTGGCTTTTAAGAATGTACCATTGGAAGTGTATATTGAGGCCGACGGTTCTTGAATATCAATCCACCCTAATGTGCTTCAAGAGAATGGGGTCTCATGCCATCAACTAATAAAAATAGTTGTCTTCAATGCAAAGAAGATCCTTTGTTCTTAGTAATGTCAACTGTTATGGTTTTTTAAATGCTCGAAACTGATATCTAGAGAGCAGGTTTTTAGATATTAGCCAATATAAAGACTACAGTACATAAGGTATAATGCACGATGGACTACTTGCACTGAGCCTCGTGATGCACTTCTGTTTTGAAATAATACAGCTCAGTTATTTACGTTATTAGTTATTAGTGCCGTAATCATCTAGTTAACTTAAATGCCTATTAAAATGAGAGTCCGTGGGATGATTTCAAAATCATTTTCAGAGACAGGAGAAGAGATATTCTGATGATTACTGTTTGCAGAATTTTCCAAACTCGACGAAACTTTAAGTTTTAATCCAACATAAGCCAGTCTGATAAAGCAGTGGCTGGTAAACATACGCGATTGTTTCACCACAGGGTGTCAGTGCTCTAAACTAGTAATTGCGACACTGCAGTGTGTGTGAGATCTGATGAATAAGATCAGAATTAACCTTTATTTATCTGTATTAAATATGTTTGTCACTATTCTGTGTCATTTTTCATTCACAATCATTTCACTGTAAGCAATGCCAAAATATGAATATTCAAAGTAGTCTCACACTGTCAACGCGTTACTGTTTAAAATGAATTCAATGTTTAACATCGTTAAATTTCTTTAAGGCAGTTACCGTACATTCATTCAACCATTTTAAACTCTGGAATAGGACCACCAACGCATACAAGCAATAATGCTCTTATGAAAATTAGCTACAAATAAAACCATAATAAACCACAAATTAACCCAGGTTTTGCTACACTAACCATAGTTTAACCATGGTATTTAAAGTTGGTTATACAAAAAAAAAATGGTTTTAGTAAAACCATGGTTATTTTTCGTAAGGGTCTTTATCAGTCAAATTAATTTAAAACTGTAAATTCAACAGGTATGAAATATGATCAGTAAGAGAAAAATGTGAAGACAAGCACTGGACTGCGGCAGGTTAGTGGGGAAATATATTTATTTATTATTCAGAATGCATATTTGGAAGAGAAATATATTCATAGGAACATTTCAGCAGGTTGTTAACGCAGAGAATATGACTTAACTGATTATAAAAATATTTCTCATGAGAAATGGTCTGAATGTAGGTGCACTAAACACTGACTGGAAACTCCCGAGCTGTATTGAGTGGAACGCGGAAGTAGTTGTGCAAGTAGTCCATTGCTCACAAAACCATCCATGTTGAAATGTGCCTCACTGTTAAGTTTTAAAGGTGAAGTATGTGAAACAGAATGAAAAATGAAAATATTGGTTTTCCGAAGACTCGGTCTGACAAACACATAGTCCTACTCCAACCTCACTCCATTGGTTGAGCCAATGTTGCTGTGTTGGACTGTTTGAGATTTACAGACAAACAGAGCAATGTTTTAATAATGCCACAACGTCTGTAGATATATCACAACAGAAAAGATACATTACCTATTAAAGTTTTTGTTCACCCAAAAATGAAAATTCTGTCAACACTCACCTTCATGTTGTTCCAAACTCATAAGACTTTCATTTTAGGAACACAAATTGAGTTTTTTTATATTTTCTCATGATTTCTGCCTGTCCATTTAAAGTCTATAGCTATCATCATTTTCAAGCTTCAAAATATTTAGAAAGACATTGTAAAATGAATCCACATTTATCGAGCCATTTAATCCAAGTCTTCTGAAGACTAAGCTTCCATTTACCACATGTACGCACACTTATCAATATTTATAACCATATCAAATAAAAAAACAATATCATATCATATCATATCAAGTGATCGTGTCTCTTCAGAAAATTTGAATTAAACCATGCAATTCACACACTGCTGTTCATCCCCAAGCAGTTTATAGATATTTCAACGAAAATGGCATTCACGAATCCGATCATCTCAAAATATTATTTTGTTAATCAGCCTTGATGATATATTGGTCTATTTCTCAGTCATGTTTCACATTCACTGACATTTTGAACCCTTTGGTTCCTGTCAGGCCACAGTGGCGGCATTTGCAGCCAGCGAGGGTCATTCTCACCCACGAGTGGTGGAGCTGCCCAAGACAGATGAGGGGCTTGGCTTCAATGTGATGGGTGGAAAAGAGCAGAACTCACCGATCTACATCTCCCGCATCATCCCTGGGGGCGTGGCTGAGAGGCATGGCGGTCTTAAGAGAGGCGACCAACTCCTGTCCGTCAACGGAGTGGTGAGTTGCCAGGGATGTTCCTGTTATGAAGGACCTTTTCTATTCTCTAACTCTGTAAAAGGAAAATGCATGTGTGTAATTTAAGGACACATTTCTTTAAAAAGGTGTACAAGACTGTTATGAATGTTATTTACACAATAGCAAGAAAATGAATGCATAATTGGATGGAAACTAGATGGAAACAGGTTGGAAATAAACCAAAAGACATGAGGGCATTAACTCGAAATTAAGTTATCTTTTAGGGCTGTCAAAAGATAAATCACAATTTATTTTGGGATGTGATTAATCGTGATTAAAATCTTTTGACAGCCCTAATTTTTGTTTTGTTTCAAATGTATTACAATTTTATAATTTTGGTTCTTTAATGAAATAGGATGGAACATTGGAGACAAATTAATCTAACACCACAAAACATTACAGAATTTATCAGTGCATGGATGGTGTCATTACAAGAATAGTTCGCCCGAAAAATGAAAATTCGGTCACCATTTAGTCATTCCCAATTTGATCCAAACCTGTATGAATTTCTTTCTTCTGCTTGAACATAAACTGTAATTAAACAGTTGACAATCCGAATTGTCTTCCATCGTATGGAAAAAATACAATGGAAATCAATGAGGACCATCAACTGTTTGGTTACCCACATTCTTCAACATATTGTCTTTTATGTTCAGCAAAAGTACAAAAAGATTAATTTTTTTCAGTTGTGTAGAGCTGTCAAGATGCCTTCAGCTGTGAAGATGCCTTCATGCTAGAGGGCCCACTGGCTTTTTAATCGATAAAGATCAGTTTGGGCTGAAGTGAGATTATTACGGCAAAAGGATGATTTTTTTCTCAATGACCAAACATTTCCAATAGTCTACAAGGCTGATTGCACCATGGAACGATACGCTAATAAATCAATTTTAGCAGCTCAGACCCATTAGAGACTGAAGTCTTGTAATCTTTCATTTTACTTAGGCTAAACTTGACATTTTAAAATAATAAAACTGGACAGGACTGTTTCTAAAACTGAAAAAGACAGGTGTCAAAAGACTTTATCTTTTCAAAATTCACTGTAAATGTTTAAAATGTGTCAGACTGGAGCCAGATGAGAATGAATCTTTGACTGAATCCGAATGAATCTTTCAGTAAAAAAGCTGTCTACTCATATAAAGCGCTCTGAGTCACTGCTGACGCAAGTTTCTTTGCTCTTCTCTGCCATCATTCAAGTTTGTTACAATTCTATTACATGAAGGAGTAATTTGAGTTTATAGAAAACAATGTCCATTGTTTTCTCGCTCAAAGATGACAGAAGACTTCAGAAAGGATCCATTTGATTTCATTTGCGTCAAAGACTGTAATAGGAAAGCATTTTGTGACAGCATTTGAGAAGCAATTTCTCATTAAACCAAACATGTTACGGTTCCTGAGCTAATAAGAAATTAATGGCTCTTTCATGCCAAAATGTAATTGAATGTTCATCACCATTGAGCTGACAAAGCTACGAGTTTGGTGATAATAAAGTTGCAGCAGTCATCAATAAACTACTGAACTTTGAGACACACGTTTGCATTTCGGTCCTTTGAATTAGATGACTTGAACAACCACAGATTCCTCTGAAAAACGCAACTTTTTTCTCAGAGCGTCGAGGGTGAACACCATGAAAAGGCTGTAGAGTTACTGAAAGCAGCCAAAGACAGTATCAAACTGGTGGTGCGTTACACCCCTAAAGTCCTGGAGGAGATGGAGGCGAGGTTCGAGAAGCTCCGCACTGCCCGCAGACGCCAGCAGCAGCAGCTCCTCATGCAACAACAGCAGCAGCAAAACCTGACCGCCCAGCAGAACCACATGTCGTAGGTGAGGCTTTTCATTGCTTTAAGGGTAACAGGACCTCAGCAGGGCAGCTCACGGAGAAGTTACTACATGCTGCCTGTCACCAGTGGGACGTTGTTCCGAAAACAGACCGCTATTGTGTCTGAAACTCAGCTGTTATGTCATAATGTGAAATAATGAATCAATTGAAGCAGCTGGCAAGCAGTGCTGATGACCTCACAGACTGAGCTCAATAAGTGGGATTTGCCTCTCAGGCAGTTGTCCAGACATCGAAGGATCACACTTAAGGGCAAAATTAAGAACTATTTAGATGGGAAATCAATCAATATTTTATTACAGGTCATTACACCAAATACACAAAATAATGTTCTTTTTAGCAGCATCATATGACCCCTTTAAGTCTGCAAATCTCACTGATGGAACCATTTGTTTTGGTAATGCTTTACGTTAAAGGGATAGTTTACCCAAAAAAGTCTGTCATCATTTATTCACTCTTATGTTGTTCTAAATATGCAGCAGACTTTTTTTCTGCTGTGGCACACAAAAGAAGATATTTTGAAAAATGTCTCATAAAATTTTTTTTATACATTCAAATAAATGTCACTGGGGTCAAATGTGGTTTGGATCACAGCAATGCTCAAAATATATTATTTTGTGTTCCACATGCAAAGGCATCAGGTTTGTGACAACATGAGTGTGAATAAATGAAAACAGAATTTTTTGAACTATCCCTTCTTATAAGACTATAATGCAGATATTCTTCAGCCAACAATGAAAATTCGAAACTTACTTACCCACATGTTACTCAAACCTGTATGACTTTGTGGAACATAAAAGGAGAAGTTTTGTAGAACCAATAGTATTTATTAAAGACATAAAGGCTTGGAACAACATGAAGGTCAGTAAATTGACTGAATTTTTATTTTTGTGTGAACTATCCCTAACGCCTTGTACTCATTACAATCAGTTCTCAACTGACAATTATATTATTATACATTGAAAATGATACAATTTGCCCAATCCCTATAACAGTTCATATATTATATGCTAATTTCAATGCATTATGAAAAGGTAGGCCAGATTATGTAAAGACTACATAAGGTATAATGCACAACTGGACTATGTAAAAAGTCATTATGTATTCCTTTTTATTTATTATATGTTTCACAAATTGCATGTATTATATATAACCATATGCATTATTACATACAAGCTTCTTGTTTTCTTGTACTGACATTTTTTCAATTTGGTGCTAATTGATAAGTCATTGTCACATCCCATATTAGCTTCTGAAACAGTATCTCCCCTTCAATATTAAAAAGAGAAAGTAGTCATCCTTTATCACTTCCATTATCACTGTTATGAAATAACAGCACTCTCATTTCCTCAAGATTTCTTTCGTCTTTGCAAATGCTCCACAATCTGAGAGAATTCTATTAGTCAGAGTCTTTTCCAGACAGACCAAAGCACATCTCCTTGTATTAATGATACTCGGCCCATCTCTCGCCTCATTGCCTCCTCACACCACACTTAGCACTAAGCAGCAGTATAGTTGGCAGTGTTGTAAGTTAACCTCGCCATAGAAACAAGCCAAGCCTAAAATGAAGCTATAAGCAGTGCTGACTCAAAAGCGCGTCCGTGTGGATACACTTCTAACAGAGGTGCTGGCCTCTTTATTCTTGTCACCAAAGGCCATCTGGAATATCTTATGTAGCCTATCTCTTGCTTGTGGCTAAATCCTTGGCTGTAAAATCATATGTGCTTGTGAGCTGCTGAGTATTTTTGGGACATTATGTCTGGGCAAGAGGATCATGGGAAGAGAGCTCAGCCCAGATCATCCCCTATCAAGACTGGCATGCCGACTAAACAGCAAAGCCACAGTGACCAGACAGCACTCTGTCTAAACCACACCATCCACACACACACACATGTTGGGTTTCCATGATTTATGGGGACATTCCATAGGCGTAATGATTTTTATTATGTACAAACTGTATTTTCTATCCCCTTACCCTAACCCAACACCTAAACCTATCCCTCACACACAAAAAAGGCATTTTTAGATTTTCAAAATACGTCATTATGTATGATTCATAAGCTTGTTTCCTCATGGGGACCAAAAAATATCCCTACAAGGACAAGGATTTTTGATATTGCCATCTTTATGGGGACATTTTGTCCCCATAACGTAGGGTATACCTGAATCACACACACACATGTGAAAAACAAATAAGAGCAAAGAGAGCAAAATGCAGACAAGGGATTTCAATTGTAGTTTCTGTTAATAAAAATGTCTGTGTCTAAAAGAAACTTGCATTTTTGTTATTTCAGCAGGAGTACAAGAGGAAATATCTTATCTTGTTGGGGGGTTTCAGAGGTCTGCATGTATTGACTTTAACAATGGGGGACCTTGGAGGAAACTGATGTAGACCCTACTCTAAAAATATGCTGTAGGAACCATCCAAAATTAGATTTTTCCTTGCTTAAAAAAGAGGGCTCATACGTGAAAAGATCTCTGTGAAACAAATAAAAAGCATGTGGCAAAAATAATATAAAATGGGCCAAATCGTATAGGTGATCTTTATATGACCTGCCAACAAATAAATATGGAACTTTATCAGCAGAAAACGTACAATATGTTCAAGGCTTCAATGTTTGTCATAATGCATTCTGGAAATGCCTTGTCTGTGAAGGATACATGTGATGCCACCTTTTGTGTAAAATGAAGCATCTTATAAAGCAAGCCCATCTCAAGTTTGAGTCCAAGACCAGATGTTTATGGTCTTGGTCTTGTCATAGACTCTGTAGCATTTGGCCTTGACTCTTCTAGTCTCTATCTTGAATCAGATTCAACCTACTGTACTCAGTTTTCAGCCAAATTAGCTAGTCTTGACTACAACACTGGTACTTGCCCTTGAGACATTGGGCCATAGTGGTCCAGCCTGTTACATTACGTGTTATAAAGTAAATAGCCAAAAATACCAACAAACATTTTGACTGTCCCTTTCAACTTGTCTCTCAGCTTTTGTCCTTTCGGTTTTTCACAGGCTATTCCAAAAGAAGAAAAAGTAGAGGACACTGGGTGAGACTGGCATACACTCACTCACAGTCATAAGGAGGTCCAAGAGATCTCAGAAGAGGACCCTTACTGTTCTCCAGTGAAGACTATCCTCTTTCAGTCAACTACCTACAACTCAAAAAGGTTGAAAACTCCATGATATGTGTTCCAAATTGGTGCTTGGAAAAATGTACATGATGACATAGAGGAAGGCTAGCACTGAATACATGGTTATACACTTGTTCATATTTCAATTGTCCGGAACCAATTACAAGTTTTGACCCTCTTAAAAAGTCCCTCTTGTAGTTTTGTGATAATGCGTTTTCTCAACATTTCTAAAGCATTCAATGATTTGTTTTTACTTTTGTTATAATTTTGTTTCCACAGCGCTGTACAGTAACTTTTAGAAGGGTTCTTTTGGTGCTGGTGTCGCTGTGAATAGAAAGCGCTTTTTAGGTCAGTCGTCCTTGATTGGATAACACTGAGGTATTTTATACCGTATTGTAGCAAAGAATATTTTGTAAAGAAAGGAGATTTAGCAATAACACTTGTTTTGTCACTTCCTACTTTCAAATTATGGTTAAAAAGTTAATTTTAGGTGTGGAAATTAATCTTAAGAGCATAAAGTTACTTCAAAATGGTATCTTATGCACCATGTGACAAAAGTCAGACTAAACCATAACATCATTTGCACAAAATGTTCTCATGAGATCACTGTATCACAGTGCCATTGACAGAGATTATCTTGAACATTTATTGTATGTAAATATATATATATATATATATATATATATATATATATATATATATATAAACATATATTTAAAGGTAAAGTGTGTCATTTTTGCATACATTTTCTCAGAATTCAACTTAATATACAAATTAAAGTATAAGTAAAAAGTGTAAACACTGCATTGGTATATCAAAACCTTGCACATTTTGTTTGTGCATCCATCCAGTAGCATGAGTTTGGGGCAGGACTTCATGTTTGGAAACCAATAGCAGAAATATTTGGAAACAGAACTTATTTTCGCAATTGTGTTTTGTGGCACAGAAATGACACACTACACCTTTAACAGGTCATGCATTCATGACAGCTGTAGAGTTTTGATGCGGTTTTATGGTTGTGATGTCACTACTGAAATTCATTCTAATTCAGAAATATTATTTTTAAGTTCAGACATTTATATAGTTCAGACATGATATTATGAAATTATTTACATAGTGAGGACAAACGGAATGTCAAACACAGATACATGATATCTACAAATGGAGGTACATCATTATAGTATTTTGTTATTTTAAAGTTCTATTTTCAAGTTTATTATCTCAGAGGTTTGAAAGATTATTAATTGTGGTCTGTATCATGTTCTATTTCACATAACCAACCATCTCCTTCACTAGAAACATTGTAACATTGTCCTGTTTTGACAATCAATTTAAAAAGCAAGCATTAAGCCACTGCATTTTGTTTTTATTTATAAAATTGCATTTTTATTTCACAGCTTCATTCCCTCAACACAAACTGTCTATCCATTGCAGTGCTGTAGTTGTACTGTTAGTTAAAGTCTTATAGAAGCAAAACTGTAAATCAGCAAGTAGTTGAAGACCACCAGTAATCAAAGGTAATATTGTATGTGTTAATGTAATTTGATTTGATGGTTTTCCTGACGTAGGACTTTGGTAGATACTTAAATTAGTTCCTTTGTTGGTCGGTTTTTGAGTAATCTTAGACTGTGGGTAACATGTAAGCGTGTCATCCTAATAGACAAAATCACTCCAAGCTGTGAAGGTGATTTGATCCTTGATTATCAATCAATTCATTTCAATGGATTCTCTTCCCTTTTATATGTTTACTTACAAACTTTCTTATTAATGACTTGCATTTTTGAGGTTGAACAAGCTGATATTATTATACAGCGAAAAAAATACCAAGTGATATGCAATTGTTATACATTATATATTTGTATAAATAAATATATGTGTGTGTATGCAAAGCTTCGAATCTTTGTTTCTGAACTACCTACCATTCAGAACATCCTATAGCAAATGCATAGGAACATGATAACAACAACTTAGAACACCTTAGCAACTGCATATTGCAACAATAAATCAACACAATTCAATAAAGATAAAGCTCAAATCAAGTAACTTACATTTTAAACACATACCGTTAGTCCGTTTTTGCTCTGTTAGCAAAAATAGCTGCAAATGAAACCACAGCAGAATCTGTTTCGTGTTAGTAGTGCGTCGTTCCTAAATGAATCAGTAGATTTAAACAAAGCGATTGAGTGAACAATTCAGTGACTCACTCGATACACACAAAGTGATAGACACATGCCACTTGTCACCACCTACTTGCGTAATGTAACCTGCAGAAAGTTAAGTATTCCTGCTAGACTTTCTTTGTTCATTGAGCCGGAATGTTTTTCAGTAGTGACATTTTCTTCAGAATATGTGTTTTGAGTTAGGGTAAGTCTTCAGAAAGAATTCGTAAACTGATGCAAAAGTAAGACAATATTCAGTTTTATCCATAGAAATGACCAGTTGATGTGTTTAACAGAGGTTGAAGGTCACTAGCTTGTGCAGTATAATTCTTTTACAATAAGAGAATAAGTTGAGCACAATATACAGTATTTCTACTCACCTACACAACAGGATTAATATTCATTAACCCAGCAGCTCATCCCTCCTTTGTGCATATTATATTGTTATTAGGGGTAAAATTAGTTGTATTATTTTCTTATGAGTATTATTGTTGTTTTTTATAAACACTGAATTTTTGCCATGTATAATCTGGCAAGTCAGCTAAAAATATACTACTCTTATATTTTAAGAGTTGAGCCAATAAATGTATTTTTCTAAATTTCCACTCTATATGTTTACTGAAATAACATTGAAACTACATGGGAGAAGTTTATGGACAAAAGCACCAGGATATGTACACATTACTGATGTGATCCAGTTGTTAATGTGCTTTTTAATTTCTCAAATCTGTGCTAAAAGAGTAAACAAACATAATGCTCATAAATACTGTCAATGTAACATTCTTTGGCAGAAAATCCACACAGCTGAGCAAAATCCTGACAACAACAGATTAAATACATTGGTAAAACCTCTAATTAGGACCTTTTTTAATATAATTTATTTATCACTGGGAAAAGTACGCCCACGGCGGTACATTGATTTACGTAAGTCAAAGTGGATTTGCACTCGGAACTGTAGGTCTGGTGAATTTTAAATCAGATACATCTAAAGCGTGCAACATAAATTTCAGCAGATCAGGACACTTTTGTTTTTATGTTGAACTAGATCAAACATGAATAATTAAAACCCACATTAAATCCTTCATGTCTGATTTGCCTCATCACCTGCAAATCTCAATGAATTTAAAAAATGTGATTTATAGGTCTATGTAAGTCAAGGAAATGTACACTATTTTAATAATAAAGTTGTGTTTTGCTCTAAAATATTTCATTAGATATAGGTTTTGGCGAGGATTTGTGTTGAGTCAAATCCAGTCAGCATGACAGAATCAGTCAAAGGACTGCAAATGTCGCTGTTGAAGACGAAATGGTCTTCCTCAAGGGGGGAAGGGATCATAATATTAATTGTCCATTAAATCACATTCATATTACTAGTCTCTCCGCCTGTTATTATTATTGTTTGTCTAATTGAGATTTTTACACAAATGTCATGATTTATTCATACCGAAAATTAACACTTGACATTCAAATTGGCAGACAAATGTCTAAAAAAGTAATAAACAACTAGATATATCATGTGATGCTTTTGGAAAAACATTGGTCAAAAAAAGTGGTGAATCCCTGTCTTATGTATTTAAAGGGGTCATATGACGTTGCTAAAAAGAACATTATGTTGTGTATTTGGTGTTTATGCGGTTTAAGGTAAAAAAAACACATTATTTTCCATATAATGTACATTATTGTTTCTCCTCTATGCCCCGCCTTTCTGAAACGCGTCGATTTTTACAAAGCTCATCGTTCTAAAAAAGCGAGGTGTGCTCTGATTTGATCGACTCTTAACTTTTATAAAGAATATCTCTTTGGATTTAAGACTTTAGTCTTTGCAACTTTACAGATCGTCTTTATGCACCAAGAGCTTGTAACACTCCAAAGAGAAAGGAAAAATTTAAATCACATCATATGACCCCTTTAAGCAATATTTCATGAGCAACAGTGCTGCCATTCTGAATATCAGCAGCTAGATGTAACAGTTAGGTACATTTCAAACAGCATTTTCGCAGGAAGGACATGGCTACAAGAAGGTTATTTCGGTCGTTCCAAAGCAAAGTATCCGAAAAACAGAATGCGATTCATTAGGAGCAAACATTTTATTTATTTATGTATTTTGTTTAATTTTATTTTAACACGAAATGGCAAACTGTCAAAATAAACAGTCAAAATAAATTTGGATCAAAAACGCAAGCCTTTAGCTGATTTCTTTTTTTCTGTAACAATCTGATTTTTGAGTATATTTTACTGTTATCAAAATGCCATTCAGATTTCAAACAGCCACATATGATTGAAATGCCCTGGGGCCCGTTTAAATAAGGAAGGAGGTTCAACCGTCGCTGAGTTGAGACTTGAACTCTGAGTTGATTTACCCTGAGATGGGAAACTCTGAGTAACGTACTTTTCACGTAAGCTCCTTTCTGAAACGGGCCTCAGCACTCTCTTATATGAGCGTGATACAACAACATAGTGCTTTTCTACAACAGTCCGATGAATAATAAGTTAATATAGAGAAACTTACATTTTAGACACAATGTTGTCTCAATTTTGGAAGACAGACTGTCGAAGACAGACGAAGCCAAAGAAAAATCAACCGTTGTGTCTCCGAAATGAATAATTTATTTGAGTGATTCAACGACTCGCTCCTAATACACAATGAATCGTCTCCACCACCTACCAAAGGCGGACAAAGTACACAACTCTGTTACTTGAGTGAAAGTACAGATACTGCTGGTCAAATATTACTCCATTACAAGTGAAAGTTGTAAAGACAGATTTTTACTTAAGTAAAAGTACAAAAGTACTTAAGCACCAAAAGTAAATTTCATTTTTTATGTCAATGCACTGTTTTATTATTGTTGTATGTAATACTTGCAATGCCTCTGAAATAACTTGCAATGCTGAATACACTGACTAGCTTGTATCTTTGGAATAAAGAGCTTTTAGAATGTTAAAAACCTATGGGGGAAAAAATTAACACCCCTACCCACCCCCACAAAAGCAGGATGGTAGTGATCTCACACAGCTCTGACAGTGTGTGCACACATCTATGTGTAGCCATTCATCCACATTTGAACAGAGTGGACAGTGAAATTGCTGTAATATACAGAGTGATAAGGACAGGGGGGGGGGGATCAAACCTGCTTTAAAACCCACCAACACAACTGTAGCTGAACAACTTTACAACAGCAACACTGCTTTAACAAAAAAGCAAAACAGCAAGACTTATTTGCCATCAAAACAAACATTTGAAATGCTGTCTAGTCGCTTTTGCAGTGCTTTGATGTCACACACAGAACGGTCAGTGCAACACCTTTTGTGTTTTATTAGGAGACGCACAACAGTTCTACTGTGGCTTTATAGGTAATATTTTTACTTACACAATTTAGCAAAATCAGACAATATCGTGTCTAATATATACCACAATATTAACTTTTTATTATTCAGTTGTAAATAAATATCACATTTGGAACTGGTCAGTGTTCAAAAAAGGCTGGGAAATCACTTCATGTAAGAGTGATTACTGATAAACTGTCTGAAAAAAAGAAAGTCACGTTTTAGAGAAGAAAACAATCACCCACTGACTTTCAAAGCTGCTACATAGTAATGACTTTCTACTTCGAGGACCATGATAGAAATGTAATCGAGTGAAAAGTACAATATTTGTCTTTCAAATGTAGTGAAGTTAAAGTCATAAGTTTCCAGAAAAAATAATACTCAAGTAAAGTACAGATACTCAAAAAGTGTACTCAAGTACAATACTCAAGTAAATGTACTTAGTTACTGTCCGCCTCTGCCACCTACTAACGTAACCTGCAGTGTCACTGAAAATCTCTACCACTAATGCACCACAGATTGACAGTCTGGAACTGATCTTGTTGGAATAGCAGTTTTGTGTACATAATAAAATGAAATGTTTTTTTCCCCTTTATTGTATCAATTGCCCAAATACAATTTTTTTTCTCTTCTAGAAAAAGATGAGATTGCTACAACAAAATGTATTTGTAAAACCAGTGCAGGTGAAGAGTTACTGCTTCCGATAACCTGTTGATATCAGTCAACAGTTGTCACACTAATATAGGCTACTGATAAAAGGAAATCTTACTTTAAAAGGTTTTCTTCCCTACAAACTTTAATACAGCGTTTTGTTTACCAATGCGTGAGATATTGAAAGCTGACGGCGCATAGGAGGTCTTTGGCTACCAGAGTAAATGCATCTGAGAAAGTACTGCACTCTGGTGGCCAAAGGTTACTTGTGCATTGTTGTCAAAAAAAGGTCAACGTGGGTTCAGTGAACTATATCTATAAACACAATATATTTTTTGTCACGACATTACGATATGTGCCAATACAGAATATGACTTTAAGAATTAAATGCACACTAAAAGTGGGAACAGTTCCCTTTTATGGCATACAGTGAAAAGCTTTTAACTGCTGTCAGAGCATACTATGATGCTATGCTATTCAAGCCATGGAAGGTTCAAATCTTTTAAAGGCTTAATAATAAATTTAATATATGAGTAATTTAATGGATTATAGTAGCTTTAGCCATGGATATTTCCTGCGTTGCGTTTGGAGTTATAGCCAGGTGGGCGACAGGATTGCTTACTGAAATTGAATCTACTGTACTTAAAGTGTTTGAAAGACTCTCGGTGAAAGATCCTCTAATGCATTTCTGAGTCTCTTTACAAGAGAAAATTTGGCTGAATAGGCATCTTTTATAATGTGAAAGTAACTACTTTAATGAGGGTTCTAGGTTTTTTAAGGTTAAGTGTTTCTCTATTTGATTCACTATCAAGAACAAAAATAAAATACTGTTGTATTTTACTAGTTTTATTTTACTTTTCACAGATTTAAAAATCATCACTCTGCGATTTAAAGTTAAAGATGTATTTTCCATTTTTAACATTTCATTTACATATAATCTTATGTCACTTTTGAAGTCTGAGTCTGTTTGCTGATGTTTTTTTTAATTGAATAGCAATAGTATTTACAGATAAAATACAAAGATTCACATTATAACACTTTTATTTATACATTTTTATACTAATTTCGGTCTCTGAGTACTTCTATTTTAATTAATTCAAATCTGATTCAGTTTTACCTTTGATCATACTGTATATGATGGGCCCATAAATATATATTGACATGACAAAAAAAAAAACAGCTAAGTTTGCACACACGAACCATCTGATTTAACATTACCCAATATTGTGGGCTTCAAATGAAACTAAACTAATGCAGCTAATGTTCTTGTGTGCAAAGACTCTTTCTCTCTCTCTTTTACCCGCACACACAGCACCTTGAAGTGTCAGCATGTGGCCATTTGTTCATGACAATGGTATTAAGAAGGTGTGAATGATGTGTAACATTTGTTACATTAAGCAAACAGGCACACAGAGCTCATTTCCTCTCTTTCTCTCTCTTTTTTCAACATCCAACTCATCACACTATCAACTGTCCTCCTCTGGCACCCATGATTTTCTAGCAGCAGACAAATGGCGTATAATTGGGACAGAGCTGCAGTCAATATTTACGGATAGACGCATTTGAAAAACACCCGAGGATTATATTCCTCATTTCAAGTCAAATAGTGACAAATGGTATAATTAAATAAAATATTTGTGAAATGTATTATTGTGGAAAAAGTCATTTTATGCAAGAATGTTCATTAAATATGACAGAAACAACATTACATGAATACAATAGCAGTCATTTAAATTATGTACAATCTTATTTACAACACAGAGAATGGTAGGTCGTGGATAACATTAAGTAGGCTAATATTAAAAAACAGCATTTACTAAGTACCTCAACGATTATTATTGATAAATAAAACCAGTTTCAATGCAGTTCAGCTGTACAGTCAGTCAACATGGTAAAAAGATCCACTGTCTATACATTGACATATTTTAATGGATAGTATGGCTTTTTTAAGCCATGACCATATAAAGCACGAGCACATAAACCAAATTATAACCAGGCCCACACAGAATGTAAAGATTTGTTTTGCATTTTTAGCCATGATTTTGAGGAAAATCTTTGTGCTGAATGGAGGTTTGCAATGACTAAATTCTTATTGTTATCTGAAAGCATTATCAAATGATCCAAAATACTTCATAAATAAACATGCAATGTGAATGACAGGCGTTCAGATTCTGCAGAGCGTTCTGTGGAAGCAGATAACCAGGCCGGAGTGTCTCACTCCCTCCCTCTCACAGGACGTGGTAGACTGGTCTGTTGCTGGGACTGTCTGGAGAACTGCACTGGGAATCACTTCCAGTCGGAGAGAGACCTACCATGTTCCTCATTCCCACTGCAACTCCCGTATCTACAGAAGACAGCCTGTCCACGATGCTGGACAGACACTGCAAACTGGACGCTCCTGGAGTTCTGTCCACTGCGCTAGCTGGATTAATGAAGAAAGAGGAAATGGCATCATTAGTGACAAACACAAAGACTTCATAAAGACTTAATGATCTTATTTCTTACCATTTTGTGCTTCAAAGTTGTAGTTATTCCCAAAGTTTGGATTCATCTGAGGCCATACAGGACTGTTGCAGTCAACCTAAAGTGTAGAACACAAAAAGTTCCATCAGCATATACATAATTATAAAGCAGTGAACATGATTTATATGTGACATGGATTGGTTCTCTTCCTCTACAACAACTTGTGCAGCACTGCATAGTCTGTGCACTTCACTGGATCTCTTTCTTTCACAAGATGGCTACTTTGCGAGGGACTCCCACGCTATGTTGGGCTTCAGGCGTGGCGAATTGATTGAGTCAGTGGAAGCCACACCAGTTTGTGCAAGATGACACTTTCTCTGAGTAAATCTGCAGAAAATCTTGGCAGCAGTGCAGCTCATGCAGTCAGCCAGGAATGCGGTACGGCCGTCACTTTCCTGCCAGTCTCTGTTGGATGGATTTACTGAGGCTTTATTAAGGCTATTAAGAGTCCAGTGGGAAAGCCATCACTATATCCTCCATTCTTAAACCCTGTACTGAGATTTTGTCAGAAATGTTCTGTGAATCAACATCTCACATTGTTTGTAGCATTGCTGTTTGAACTCTGCAGCCTTCTTGGCCAGGTCACTTGCAAAAGACATTTTAATCTCAGGGAATTTTCTACCTGATTAAAAGTTTACAAACTAACTAACTCCGAACATTTACATCTGGAAGGCTTATCCTTGTCAACAAATGGTTCGAAGTCTCTACACTCTCAGAAAAAAAGGTACAAAAGTTGTCACTGGGGCAGTACCTTTTCAAAAGGCACACCTTTTTACCTAAAGAGTCTATATTGGTACCTTAAAGGTACATATTAGTACCTAAAGTGTATATATTAGTACCTAAAAGGTATCGCCCTAATGACAGCTTTTGTACCTTTTTTTCTGAGAGTGTAATATAAATGTCAATGTCACTCTTGCAGTAGAGATTTTAATCCCAGTGAGACTTTTTTCCTGGTTACATAAAAGTTCATGAACAAAAATGCTTTGTCAGTCAACCTAAAAATGTGCTTGATGTGGTAACATCTCAATTACTATTTGCATCATAGCTAATTCAGAACAACTGAGTCTAGAAGACCTTTCCTGGTCAACAAATAATTAGCCGAATGATTAGCACCAAGCTAAATTAGCAAAACTATGCAGCTTTTTCTAAACTGTAAGGTCCAAATCAAAGAATATGACAAATTTATGCAAACAATATAAACATAAATGCTATCAGTGCTAGCAAAATGCATCTTAGTGTCATTAGCAAACATGTATTGAGTCTTTAACATATATAGCATATTGTAGATTGACTGAGCATTGAAACAGACACAACAACGATGATTTAATAAACTCTATGAATTTTTTAGCCACAAATCAATACTATATGTTGCACTGTGCCACATATACTGTAAAAGTTCCCTGATAAAAAGCAGTAAGCTTATATCTTAGCGTATAAAAAGAGACAGATGTGGGCAGCAATTTATTGTTGTCATGCTGAGACTGAGGCATCCCTTACTCCATTTGATGGATGCTATTGAGATAAAACATGAAGACTAAAACATAGACAGACAAGGACACAGACCTTGTCTAGATACATAAAAAGATGGAATCCCTTAAAGATCAACATTCAAAAGGATTTTCTGTGCATTTGGGCCCTGACCTTTGGAAAACTCCCTCTAGGAGAGGAAACGGGAGTATTTTAGATTTGACAGATCTTCAGTATGATGTCAATCCATCGAAACCCCACAGTATGACTTGAAGAGTAAGAGAGTAATATTTACCATGCTTTCAGAACAGCTTGAGGAGGGGCTGGCGGGCTCAGAGCTGCTTTCCATTGGCAGGCTGTAGTAGTTCTCCACTTGTTCCCTGAGGAGCTCCTGAAGGCTCTCGATGTACTGGATGGCGTTCCTCAGGATCTCCACCTTGGGAAGACGCTGACTGGGGTTCGCCGAGGTGCAGCGCCGTAGTGCCTCAAACGCATGGTTCACCTTCTTCAGCCTGCGGCGCTCCCTCATAGTGGCGGCTTTACGGCGGTCCACCGTGCTGGCTTTGCGCTTACAAGCTTTGCAGGCCCATTGCAGACAGTGACCTGGCTGGTGTGGGGCCCCGGGGGCCCGGACGTGCTCGTCCTCTTCAGACCCCGCCAGTTCCCCTCCGGGGCCGAACTCCAAAGCTTCAGGCGACGAGGAGCAGGTGCTGTCGTAGAAGATCTGGGATGTAGAGAATACGTCCATGATTGGTTAGATTTGTGTAGATGTAGGAGATCTGTAAGGGGGCAACCTCTGAGCGATGTGGTTTCTCTGGTGCCATACAGCCCTTCTTATATGCCGGGGCCCACACTGGTCAACCATATTGACCATGCCCTATTGGCCAAGGCAGGGCTCAGAGACCCCCCTTCCTCACCAGATCCCCACCCAAACCCAACACCCCTACTGAGTTTCCCACATCTGTGTGGAGGGGTGGTTTCTCACTCAGTTCAACAGTGCAACGGTCATTACAAGAGGGAATTATCATCAATAAACATTCATGTGAAGAAACTCTTGCTTTAATTGACTACTTTAGATCTTACTTTACATCAGGGTTTTTGTTTTTGTGTCTTTTTTTTGTGTGCGTGTAGCCATTCACATTTTGTCTTATAATTTGTCCCTGAATTTGTATTGAATATTTAAAGTCTTTAAAAGTGTTCACAATTGATTGCATATATAGTTAAGATCCACAGATATATATCTGCATGGGCCCCCTGAAAGTTGGAGAGATGAGTTTCATTTTAGTAAAAATGCATTAAAAAATTTGAACTAAACTAATAAATGTAGCTTCCATTATCTCAAAACAAAGCGGTCAAGAATGACTCCATGTTTAAGAGTTTGCTGGCTAATTTTACGCTTGAGGAAAGAGCAGCGTTGCAGATGCGGCCCAGCTGTAAGGGCTGGTGTAGCATTTCAGAGGCACACACTCACGCAGATACACAACTCAAGATCCGGACTGTGGATGAAGGTGTCAGAAGCAGCGTGTCCGTGTTAGTTAAGTTGAAGCTCATTCATTTTTTAAGTAGCTCATTAGCAACTTTGTGGCAAGATCTCTGCTACTATACCACTTTGTGAATAAGAATGAGAAAGAAATTGTAAAAAGCAATTAAAATAAATTGTCACAAGCATTAAAATATTTTTTCCCCCAAAGACCTGAAATAATAATTACACAATTGTGTGTGTGTGTGTGTATGAAATTAACAATAACTGCAAATAATTGACTTCTAACTGTCCAGCTTTTTCTTCAAAAACTGAAAAAAATGTCATTAACATCACACACAATCAGCAATCCACACCATTTGAATTTATACCAACTCATTTAGAGGTTGATCAAGGCCATGATCACATGCCTACTACAAACGGTATTACTTAGCATTTCAGTAGCTATATACTGTATTTTTGAGGATACTTGAAATTTGAGTATGTTTATTTTCATTGCATCCTGTTGGATAACATTTTCAATGTAATCACTCAATTACGTGAATATAGCAGTTACAAATGGTGCGTAAACGCAGTTACGCAATAAAAAACACATCGTTTATAACCGTAACACTGATCAAGTGTCTTAAAATCACCGTCTTTTGCTGTATAGAGGTCCTTACTCGAGCCATCAATGTTGACAGCTAATAAAGATACAATGCGGATATTTCTCACAACGTGCTAAAACGTTTGGCCTCTTCAGTGTCTGGGAACCGCGCGCACCTAAGAAAACACGAATAGCCGGTGTAGTTTGCATTGCGCACAGCTGAAGAAGACATTGGCCAGCGATAATCCTGCTTAGCTGTCGTTCAGATCAAAGACAATTGACTGTTAACAACATGGACAACGAGAAAACCTGACAGCAGTCGATAACTGAGTCCAACTCAGATTGCGTAAGCATATGGTGAACGCGCAAGGGTCCCTGAGACGGCTGGGTGAGCGCACAAACCCGCTCTGAGATTTGGGAACATTGCGATGTCTCAGGGGAACTTCGGGGCTTTTCTGAGGGCTCTTGTCAAGGGTCAGGGACTGTGTTAAGTGTAGGGCAGAGGGTGAGCGTTAATGTTTTATTAACAGTTTTTTCTCTCTACAAGTGTTTGTTAGGAGTAAATGTGCAATTCAAATTCCCCTTCGTTTGATTGTCCCCCCCCCCCCCCCCCCCCCAATTCCCCTTTTTTTGTTTTCCCCCCCCCCCCCCCCAGCACATTTTTTTATCGTTTTTCCATCGATAATGAGTAGCCTATATATGAAATCTTTAAAAAATAATCTAAAGAAAAACAATGACAAGACATGCTTTTCATCCACCCTCTTGTTTTTTTTCTCCATCCTTCTTTTGCCTGCCAAGACCAGCAACCATTGGCTGCACTTTTTCCACCAGCAGTAACAGTATCATATTTGATCACATGGTCAGATGGTGTGATTGGCAACAGCATTTGTCTGGCAGCTAGAAGAAGTGTTTCCTCAGCTCCAGTGATGTGGGACATTAGAACGGCTCCATAACTGGACATTCAAAGGAATGTCAGTAAATCTCAACTTTTTTCTTCTTCTTTTTACTTAATCTTTAATCCAATAATTTAGCTTTAGTTATGTATTTTACCAGCATTTCCCTCTGTTTTAATCCAGACATTATCGCTTAAACCAAACCAGGCTACTTTAAAATAATCATGAGGATTTTGCTTTGTATGCAAAGATAGATAGATAGATAGATAGATAGATAGATAGATAGATAGATAGATAGATAGATAGATAGATAGATAGATAGATAGATAGATAGATTTCAGTATTATGACCACTATCTGAGCTAAACTCTATTGTATAAAAACATTGTATAATTTATATCTCATTGTATTTTTCTTAAAGGGGTCCTATTATACTTTTTCACTTTTTTAATTTTTAGTCAGTGTGTGTAGTGTGTATGTTTGGGCATAAAAAAGATCTAGAAAGTGACAAATCTCAAAGTCCACTCCAAAGGGAGATATTTTGTTTATTAAAAAATCCCTTTTCAAGAACTACAATGAACAGCTCGTTTGGACTACAGCGTTGGTTTCCGGGCTTTGTGATATCACAAAGCGGCCCATTAGAATATCATTACATATAATTCCTGCCTACAGAGCTCGTGGTTAGAACGCTTGGTTGAGTGAGTGCATCAGACGAGATGATGAAGAAGAAGTGCTGCTGCAGAGTTAGTGCATCAGAGAAAACCAAGAAGAAGAGCTGCTGTGCTGTAGCTTCAAATTTTCGGCATGTCTAGAACAATTCTTACAAGTATAAGACGACATAGCTGGGCTCCGCAGACAGACGCAGAATGGCGCCGCCGGTGTGCCTACACTCATAGAAAATAATGTATTTTAATTTTTAAGATGTGGCGCAACGCGACGCTGCGCGACCGCCTGAAACGCTGTTTTTTTTTTCACCTCCGTGCCCAAACGTCTTTGTTTGGGCTTCCGAAAGTGGATGATGTCAGGAAACAGTGGTTGCAATTTATTTTTTAACTCTGTCCCTGAGCATTATAACCCCAATTTGCTATTGTGTGCTGCGCAATTTACTGAGGACAGCTTCCACAACATGAGGGAGTACAGGTCCTGCCGGATTCGCCAAAAAGCTTTTGTTGAAAGACGGAGCAAGGGGCGTGGCAGTACTGAAACACCGTCTAAGCTGTTCGCCAATCACAACGCACTGGGACAGCTAACCAATCACAACACATTTTGTTTTTCGGAAGGCGGACTTTCATCAAAGCCAGAACTAATCGAGCCGTTTATGCCAGCCTGGGGAGAAAGGTATTTTAATAATGTAAATGTAAGTTTTTCGAACCACCAAGCATGAGAGCATGTTCTAGTACACCCCCAAAACAAAATCAAGACTTTGTAAAAGAGCATAATAGGACCCCTTTAATGAATTTTCTTAAGTTGATGCTTAAACAAAGACTCCATTAAGTCTCTCGAGGCCTCTGAGCAATAAAATGTTCCTCTGGGATGATTCCCAGATGGCATGATGCTATAATCACATTCATTGTGCCTCCCTTTGATGGAAACTAATGACACATTTGTAGTTGTTATGTACTTCAGAGTATGTTCATATGCAAATCAAGCAATGAATCTGCTAAAGGCAGGCATCATGACTAACAATAAAAAAAATGATAATAAAATCACACCATCTCTACAGCTGAGATCCTATTAAAACAACACTGTAGACAGAGATATCTGGTTTTATGGTGAGCTTTTAATCAACATAGTATTCAAAGCAAAATAAAAGACATTGTGAAAAAGACAAGAATATATACAGTATGTTATTACGTTTTACATCTATAATCACATTTTATTAAAAATGCTAACATAATAAAATTGCATTTTTTTCTTATTTCTGGAGGATTTCATGAAATATGAATTTCCCCCTTACAGCCTTGTTTCCCATGCAGATGTGTGCTGTGCAGATCACTGCTCATTCCGAGTCATTTGAGAGTTTGAGTACGTAAGTTAACTTGTGTCTGTGATGAGGTCAAAGGTGGTAGTGTGTTGCATGGAAAGATCAGAGTGCCGGTACTGACAGACAGCACGCTGTGCAAGATGGAAATGCTGCAGAGGAACTTGGGAACACCAACAAATCAGCTCTACCGATGGATAATTGCCAAGCTCACACGCATTCACACTCGCAAATTAAACCTGACCACTAAATGCGATGCAACCCAACACTTCATTCAAGGGGAAAACCCTCACAGCCTGTAACATTATAATAGCTGTCATGTTGCTTACAGCTTTGCAATATTTTCCCCTGACCAACCTTCTACTTGTGATCATGAGACAGATATGGCAGGTTTCATTGCAGCCAATCCTGAGTCCTGCCCTGCCAGCTGGAACTAACAGGCAAGGCCAGGTCTATTTCAGGGCCAGTCATACTTTACACTCCCTTAATACTCGTAAATCTGGGAGAACTGCTGGCTTGACTGGTCAAGGCTGGTGGTGGAATACAGAGGGCTCTTAATTCAATGGGTTTAATGAGGACATTTGGTGGCTGGCCATCCTTGCGAGCCATACATGCCTGTTACTTTCAGCTTGGGACCTTTAGGTTAATGTTACAACTCAAATAGATTCAACCGAACGAGTATGATGATTTTACATAGATGCTAAATTAATTTAAACCTTCACAAGGTTGAATGTATTCATTGTTTAATGCCATTATTGAATTTTATGAGACAATAGGCAAGTATATTTTGACATCACAAGGCGCAGGCATATCAAAACCTTAAAATCACCAGTAAAATCCTTCAAAATCTTAAAATAACAAAAATTGTGAAAACAAATAAATGACAATTAAAACGTTAAAATAAGCTGAATAAAAATTTTTATGTTTAATGTTGGAAAGATATCCGGTAGTGATCAAGTGCTCTATTTTGCTTGCTAATTTATAAAATAATTTAAGTAACAGCAATATATTACAAAATATGTACATTTTAGGAAGACTACATACATTGACAGGAATAATTTAGCTGATATTAATGACCCTGAAATTAACCTGGAATTACCTGCAACAACTACACTGAATGGTCATTTATGAAATCTAAATATCACATTGGAACACTTCATAATAATATTTGCAATGTAATAAATACATTATTTAATAATACAATGCTTAACAGATCACATAGTTACAGTTAGAAAGCCAAGAAATGCTATAAATATATAGAAATGTTGTTAAGAACATATTTTCATATATATATTAATTTGTTAAATTGAACATGATCTGTTATGCATTATTGGTGCATGCTTGTTAATGACTTCTTAACAAACGTTATTGCCAAGTGTTGCCTATTACATTTAGAACATTCACACTAGCTCATGGAAATAAATAAATATACGTAGGAAATATGAGGTGGATGCTCGAGCTTCACTTTTCTGAGATCTGGTTCGGACAGCGAGCTTTCGTCTCTTCAGCGGAAATGCTGTCAACGATCGAGGAGAGGCGACGAAGGCTGCTGGACGTTGAAGACTCCACTGCGGCTTCTGGAACAGGTAAGTTCGCATGGATCAGTTTGCATCAAGAAACACACGTGGGGAATTACAGGGAATTGTGCATAGAGACTTAGGCCTACGCAATAAAATGTATGCATGCAGCGAGATTTATGGGATACACAAATGAATTATGTACGGAAAATGTCGCACAGAGAATTAAACGCAGGCACTTACGAAAAGTCAAGTATGCAAAAGGAAATACACAAATATAACTATGCACAGACAATTCTGCCCTATAATTTCAGTCAGACGTACTACACCGACACTGGAAATGCGAAATCTGGAAACCATAGACACTGCAATTATAGTTTCTGATTCAAATTGGATTATTTAATAGCAGTTTTCAAGGTTAAGCCAACACGAGCTTTTCACTGGGCAGATCAGTGTGTAGTAGCTGCGTTTTGTCTCTGTAAGGCACAATCATGCAAAATTACGCTCAAGTAAAAGCGCACAGGCAACTAGGCGCAGACCATTACGCACATCTCGAACGCATGGAACATTAACAGTCAGCATCTACAGACCTCAATGATTAAAAGCCTTAATGTGTCTCTATGTTAAAACCTAAAACTTTGTTTCTCTGTACCAACCTTCTGGGTGACTGGCCATCTGGGAGTTGGAATGATCTGGAATCCCTTGCCAGTTCTGGCAGGTCTTTTTCCAGTGATACTCATTGGGAGCCACCTGAACAGGCAATCATGATGGAAAGCATTAATACTGCTCTTATTTGAATTTGAGCACATAATATCAATAATCATTAGTTGCAGTAAGACATGTGTCACCACGTGGATCCAGCTGCTGTCAGAGCGCATGGATCGGTTTTGGCTCGGATATGTTCTTACATGGTTGTAAGGGTCACTGTCAGAGCTCTGTTCTTGCTCATCCAGCGTATGCAACAGGTCCTGCAGTTTCTCGATGTAGTTTATTGCGCAGCGTAAAATCTCCACTTTGGGCAGCCTCTGGTTCGGATTGGGCACCGTCTTTTTCTTTAACGCGTCAAACGCATCGTTGATCTTTTTAAGCCGCCTTCTTTCTCTCAAAGTGGCGGCCTTTCGCCGGTCGGTCGGCGCGGATTTTCTTTTACAGACCTTACAAGCCCACATAAGACACTGCCCCTCACAGTGAGACTGGAGCCCCGGCGGAGCGAGGACGTGTTCCTCCCCGCTGCTCTCGCACCCGGTCTCAGACGGGACCGGATCCTGTCCCGGGGACAGAGGGCTGTCGTTCCCCTCATAGAGTGGGGACACTCCAGGCATATCCAAGGTCCCATGGTCCGCCTCGAGATAACGTAAATCGTTGAAAAAATAAGTGTTGGTCTCAAACAGGTCCATCATGTTGATGTAGGCTGTTTTGACAGTACGACTGTTGGCATTTAAATAGCCCTGTGACACAAGTCAGGGGACTTAAAAATAGAATGTGAAATTCTATCCAGCGCTTAGCTGTTGCAGAGCTTCAGACTCATTTCAATAGGCCTTCAGGAGGACCACGTGGAGTCCGAGTGAAAAATAAAGGGGACACTTTACATTAATGAGTACATGTTACACAATGTATATGTTGCTATAACTACTTATTATAATACCCACAAGTAGTTTATACATGCAGGTAGTTCTAGAAATGGCTAGGGGACACCAGTGCTAGTTGTCATATAGGGACAACGGTCTATATGTCTGTAAATACAAAAGAGTTGAGTCAAATGTCCAGTGACAAAAATTTTAGGTTTCCATTGCGATAAAATATTTTATATTATGTGACAGCATGCATCACTTTTGTCATGTGTTCAACAGTTTGTTTGTCTATCTATCTATCTATCTATCTATCTATCTATCTATCTATCTATCATCTATCTATCTATCTATCATCTATCTATCTATCTATCATCTATCTATCTATCTATCATCTATCTATCTATCTATCATCTATCTATCTATCTATCATCTATCTATCTATCTATCATCTATCTATCTATCTATCATCTATCTATCTATCTATCATCTATCTATCTATCTGTCATCTATCTATCTATCTATCTATCTATCTATCCATCTATCTATCATCTATCTATCTATCTATCTATCTATCTATC